CGATATTTGTGCTATTTCGCCTAATGTTTTTTGAACATAATTTGTTCTTAAATGAGGAACTGTCTGTTACAGTGTGAAAAGATAAAAGTTGTAGATTATTTTGTCAAGTTCACAAATACATTACATAACATTGAATAAGCTTTGAACACAATAAAAACAGCATAAGTACTGGTAAATAAAGAATATCACTTTTATTAGATTAGACCGAAGTACATCATGATCAATACACAGGTATACGATTTTTGTAATGTGATGCAGTAAAATTGGCATTTTGCAGTATATTGTTACACTCCTACTGTCAAGAAAGATACAATGCATTTTATTTTACAAACACAGGTAACAGATCAAATTTTACTGCACAGATTGTCTAGTTAATATAAAAATGTTTTTCTCTTGATACTGCCCTTTAATTCATAAGATGTACCTTTGTGACTTAAGTAGTCATGCAGTTTCATTTCTGTAAATCATAGGAAATATAAATTTAAGGAATCACTGTCAAAGCCCGTTATGCATAAATTATCCCACATTTCCAACTATCGTTGATGTCCCTGGTATACCCAACAAACTAGACAGTGATTCCTTATATTTACATTTATATGTGAAATAAAATTGTAAGATTTAAAATACACAAGTCTCCCATGTTATTATCAATAGTCCCCACCCACTGACGTCTGATATATAGACACAAAGATAGCACCACGAGATTGACATGCATATAAGGCTCCTGACCTTTCACCTGGCGAAATTAACATTCCGGTTGAATTATCAAGAAATCAACTCACCTAACTTTCAAAGAGTTATCACAGAGAAAACAATTGAAAATGTAAATATCAAATTATAACCACAAAAAAAGTCTAGAAAAGAATTAAATATACTAGCATGTAGCTTTACTTTCACACCTGAGATTTTGTGAAAAAAAAATTCAAAAGATATCAATTTCTGTAGTGCATAAGAAGTAATTAAAATAAAATATTTATGGGGTCTGTAAGTTTCTTTGATTTATGGTATGTGCAAATAGGAAGAGTGTAAATCTGTATACTTAATAAGAATTTGCAAGATTTAAGACAATAGCCCTCCTGTAAGATTAAGGGCCCACAGAGTGAAGTGATTATTTCTAATCATTGAAACAAAACTGATTGATCTGTAGTTGAGGTACATTGCTATTTCTAGAACTCGGATTATTGCATGCAGGAAGGTAAAATTTACTAGGGGAAAAAAACTTGTAGGAGATTGCAGTTTCAGAAGAAAATTATTGGCAAAGGGTGTATTGATCAATGTTTTTTGTGTAATGGTGACATGCAAGTAAATTAAAAAATAAAGGAAAAACTGTTTTGTTTCAAGTCAGAGCTTAACATTATTTGACTAAGCCAAGCATAGATTTTCATATCAATTATTTATTCATTTCAGTTTGTTCTGGGATGTATGGAAAATTGGAGAAAAAAATATTTATTGCTTAAGGTGTGACTGTTTAGAAATGTTGAAGATAAAGTGAAAAAGATGAAAGTTATTATAGAACTGTATTTTCGTTCTGTCAGTTCTTTGGTACTGCCATTAGTTATTAAGGAAATATTTGTCTAGCACTCTGTTTTATGTGAATACTTTCCCTAGATACCATTAGGATGAGAATAATTCACATCTTCTATTTATGTAAGTGCATGGATTCACTGAATTGATCTACATCAGATAAGGATTACAAGAAAAATTCACAAGGTAAGAAAATTGGTTACCGTGGCATCCATGTTGAATTTATTCAAAAGCGGCAGAGCACAGCATTGAAAAATTCATATAATGGCTTTGTTAAAAAAAAAAAAATGAATTCTCCAGCTGGTTTGGTGATTCATATTGAAAGGCAGAAAAGTAGGTACAATTTATTTGATAAAATGACTAAATGGCTTTTTTGTCAGATTTGGAAAACACACAAAATTGAATTGATTTTTGAAGGATCTAGGTACAGCAGATACACAAGGGGATGAATTAATTGGGATATGATCAGAGAGTTGAATATTATTCACATAGTTCCCTTTATTAGATTTTTTGTGAAAAGAAATGTAAGTATAAATATTAACCAGAAGGAAACTAAAGTGTTAAGAAAATGTTATATTTGTAGAAGTTCTGGCTTTACGAACCATGGACATCAGCCTGGATAGCTCAGTGGTTAGAGCACCTGATTAGTAATGCAGGGGTCCTGGGTTTGATTCCAGTCCAGCCATATATTTTCTTTATGCATTTCTCCTTTCCTACTACATACATTTGTATTTGAAAATGTTAAATTCAGGGAAAAGCTTTACAGTGGCTGTCAAAATCAACAGTATCATAAATTGTATTAATGTACACTTGCTTGGAAATGTTGAAAGTCAGATATACTCACAGAAAACCACAATAGATTCAAAGTTTTCCCAATTGTAAATTAATGTGATTAGTGAAATCAATAAAGAGTGTATATTAAATTGTATTATGATTGAGAAAAATATTTTTGTAGGTGGAATGCCCTATCTTGCATTCATGAGTCACAAAGACTGTGAAGTTCCCTTAGGTATCCACATAAGATGAGATTTGAGATAATGTGCCAATTTATTTATATTGGATACAAAGAGAGACAACTCTGAAGTTCTTTTGCAGTTTCCTAAATCTGATTTTGTGTTTTAAAACTTGTTGGTGAAATAGTTTCTCAGATTTGAATTAATCCTGCAAGTTCTCAGATTTTCAAGTGATCTTTAATGAAATTAATGGTTCCATGTTAATTTTTCTGGTGGGAGGAATTATGGTGTTTAATTGCTGATCTCATAACACCTCTGGTGCTCAGGAATAGTTGATGTTATGGCCCCAGATCAACTTAATGGTTTTAGTTAAAGACATTAAATAGAAATCTCTATGCCATAGAAAAAAATATTTTTTTCTTAATCATCTCCCAGTAGAGGGTTCTTTGTTTCTGTGAAGGAATTAAACCCGAAAATCTCTAAATATAGGAAAGAGGAAAAATTGTATATAGTAATATCAAAATTTAGAAAAGATTGAGAAAAAAAAACAAAACAGAAATAGCTAAACTGAAAATGAGCTGTTAAGAAATACTATAGAGAGCTTATAATGAGTCTAAGGTTGTAAAGAGGAAGCCAAGCTGAAGGATTTAATTGAAGGAGGCTGAGATACCATGGAGAGAACATAGTATTTGGATTGAGGCGATTTTCGTTACTGAAATCATATACATTGCTATGACGTGTATGATCAATATGGTCTTTGCGATATAGCCCAAACCTGGTAATTTTTTGCCAATTTGTTAGATTGCTTTAGTAAAGCTTTGGTAAATTGATCTGCGAAGGTGTCTAGATTGTTTACAAAAGCAGATAAAGCCTAACAGAGTCCTAAATAAGGGCATATAACACTTTACTGCATCAACAAGTGAAAGTATGAATTTGTTTACCGGGAATTTTTAAGCATGATGTTCCCTAATTGTTTCAAGGGTCTTAATTAAGACAAAAGGTTTTATGTTCTTTTTCCAGATGTGAAAATTTCTGATACAAGTATTTAAATATATGGCATTTGCTTATTCATTGCTTTGTTTCAATTAAGGCTTCAAGAATTTTTACAGAAGAATACTGGGTGATTGAAAGTGATGAAGAATTTGATAGTGATAATTAATTTACCTTCTTGTAAAAATGTTTTATTTTCATTAGTTAATTAAATTGAATCATCTAATTTGTGTTAAAAGAAAATAAAAGTTATATAATGGCCACAATGTTGTCAAACTCAAATTTGTGAGATCATAAGTCCTCGATAAAAATTTATAGGAAATTTTAATGCCATTGGACAGTAATTTGTTAGGTTTTACATAATTTTTATCAGTTTGTACACCTGCAATTGTCACATTCTGTCAACACTTCTCTTGGATTTAACATTTACCATTGACTTACAAGCTGAAAGTCCAATGTTGCATATACCATGAGTTTAGTTATGTAGCAGTTCTAGACTATTGTGGGTTCAGTGGTACATATATGTAATGAACAACCATTACTTTTGATTTTTTAATTAATTGAACATGCATTGTTTTAGGCACATTGATGCAATAGATGTTATGTAGTAAAATTTGTAAAGCCTAAGGGAAAACCGCACTGCTTAATCAACATTCTCTTTCTCGAGTGATTGGTTGATTTTTTTTTTTAAGGTTATAATGAGAAAATAATTAAATTGATGTTAAAGTGGATTCTGGTTCATTCCTCCCTCTTCCCAAGTAATAAGCAGAGACAAGATCTCCAAATGATAGATTTGTTGAGGTAATAGTGATATATTCCTTTAAGGCAGCCCCTACATCTGGTCATGTCCTGGGGTGCTGTCATATTCCCATCTGACAACAAAGTTTACAATTCCATGTAAACATCTTTCCATGGCCTAACAACCCCCCACTTATTCACAGATATATTAGATAATGAAAATGGGGAGAAGAGTTGAAATATGATAAAAAAGATGAAACTACAGTTTTACAATGCAAAAAATATGATACTACCGATAGTGATCAAAGAATTCACTAAACACTGAAATTATAAGAAAACTCATAAGATAAGAAAGTTTATTTAATGAACAGGTTTTAAAAATGCTGTGGTATCTGCATATCATGTGTTTTACAGTGAAACTTCAGATGTTTATATATCTGCTGTTCCCTTTTCATCTCCCTAGTAGAGAATAAACATGGTGCACTCAGAAAAAATACAGAGAGATGCAGGTCAAATGCCAAAATTCACAGCAGGTCATATATTTTGAATGCAGGGTGCTGATTGGCTGATAACTTTGCCACTGTATCTGTTGCCAGAGGCAACAGTGATTTGGAAGGCACCTCAGCTCACGAGTTTTTGTACATAGAGTTTTGTGTATTACTCACTATACTGTAGTTATACATTGTTATCATCTCCTAGTTATTGAATTACCTACAGTCATTATTGCTGACCCGAATGCTGGAATGTTTTAATCAGGGACGTCATTAAAGATTTTGTGCTCATACCTAATTGTAGAGATCAGTGCAGTGAGATTTTGAAGGTGATCTGGAAGGAGGAGAAATCGAGTATGTGAGGGGTAACAGATAAACAGTGCCAAGAGGGACAGAAAATTTTCAAATTTATCAGTGGAAGAGAACCCCAAGAGAGTTGCTGAAAGGTACTCATTTTATTTTACATTAGTAAGAAGAGGTTTACATGTGTTATTTTTACTGGATTTGAAAAGATGTGTTTTTAATTTTAGGCATTTGGTTCTCTGTTCATTTGTTTACTTGAAGGTTACCAAGAGATCTGTCTTTGGTCGTTTTGTAAATTGTTTAGACTTGGTTGATCTTTAATTGACAAATACCTTCTTGGTTTTTACCAGTCACAAGTGCTGGATGTATATGCATGTATATTGTATTTTTGTTCACAAAATAAACTACTTTGGGAATTCTGTATCTATTAAACATGAAGAAGAAAAAAAACTTGTGGTAACTTTAAAGAAAAAATTTCTTATGGAACCATGAGGTTGAAATTCTTATTTTTCAATATATGTGTACACAAGAGTTTGTAATGACTTCATGTATGGGGATCCCAGACAGAACGGTCAGGTGAAGACCTCCAAGATAAGCAAACATTTTGACAGTCATGACAGAAATTTGGCCGGCATCCTAGGAGCAAGGCTATCATCAGCTTTTCAGCTATGTCCACCTAATGGCCGTACCAATGAGTTTGTGATGAGAGAGCGAGAGTCAGCATGTAGAACAAATGGCTATTTGTCATCCATTTCACTCTGCAGTAATCCTGTGCTTTGGTATCTCCTGCAATCTGTAATTTGATGTGCCTTCAATATTGGTTTATAAACTATTTTTGGTCTAATGTCCCTGATGAACACTGGGATAAGTGGTCCGTCTTCTTACTTTTCCATACTGTCCTGGATTGTCCATTTAGATTGTTTACAAGAAGCACACGAGTTTTTTGCCAAACTTGCCAACAAGGGAATGTTTTTTAGCACCACATGCATCTGCTGGGGGGAGTTGATTGATCAAGCTTAATGATAACAAATATTGCAAACAGGAAATCTTCTGCTGTTTTGATTTAATGTAAAAATTGTTTTAATAGCTTGAAAGTGATCCATTTTCTATGTGTATTAGCTGCCAATTCATACACCTGTGGGGTTGATACAACAGTGATGGTATCAATTCAACAGATCTCTTTTTGCAACTAAATTGCAGTCATCACTTCGATTGTTTTTCATATTGGAAACATAGTGTCACTGATAAAAGCAAAAAGGAAATCTTTCAATTTGACCTAATGGATTGTTTTTCCTCCAATATACAGGATCTTTTTGGTTTATTGTTTCATTTTATACATGTACCAAACTGTACTTTCAATGTAATTTTATAAGAATTCTAGAATCTGTGTCATTAAGATGCTGTGAAATTAATTTACAAGGAGTCAACTTGGATGAATTCATCTCACTCAGGTGTTAAATATATTGGAAAAGAATGATTTTCATCTGAGAAGTAAGTAGGAATATAAGTCATACTACAGTACTTTATATGACTATGAATATGGCAGTCTCTGTTACTGGTATAATGTGTAATAAATGTACTAAGTGATTAAAATTATAGAAAAAAGGGATTCATTTGCCATCTGACTCAGTATGAAAGATGACAGCAGACATGATTTCATTTGACACTGCCTCTGATGGTAAGATGTAACAACTGTTAGAAACACCTCAGTCAGTTTGGGAGGGTCAATGAACATTAATTAATTCATACTCAGGTCCTGACCCCCTGTCCAGACACAGTTAATTATGAAGAGAGGCTGTGAACTTGTCATCAACTTGTACTAATACACCATCATTTATGTTCACAATTTTGTAAATGATTCATTTGTATAATGACTCAAAAAAATGTACTGAAAGAAAGAAAAATGTGAATGTAGGAAAACATAAACTGATAGATTCATGATTTGCAGCTCTTAAAGAAGGATTTCTGATAAAAAGAGTTCAGAGACATCTTTTTATGTTATTTTTGGCTGTGTTTGGGTGACACCACCAAACTTTGTGTTTCAGTTCGAATATAAATTCTGGTTACATCGCCATGATTTCAGGAATAAAACAAAAGGATCTGACATCTCTGCAGGTGTTCCTGTCAGTATAAATTCAGAAATCACACCTAATTTGTGGGGAATTATCAACATTGAATCTCCTTAATCTTATCGGAAGTTTATTTGATGCCGTAACATTTATTGTTTTATTTCCAATTTAACCCCTTCTCTCCCACTTGAATAATACCCAATTCTGTGTTTGAGTTTTTTTGTAAGAAATCTCTGGCAAGTCCCCAGATTTCTCCAAATATTTACTGAAAGTGATAGAAAATATTATCAGGAACATCTCCAGAACATCTTTGATGGCTTCCATTCAGGGAATAGAATATGTCAAACTTTTTTGGGACCCAGTCCAGACGATGTACTTTTAGCAGGTTTTAAGCAGGTTCTTATGAAAACATTAAATCAGGAAATCTTGCAAATCTTTCAATATTCATATCTTGTATGTTAAATGTTATCAAATCAGCTTTGAAAGTTCCTTGTAAACAGATATAAGAGATGGATAATTAATTTTGTAGCGCATGTAAATTTTCTTCAAATAATGTGAAAGAAGTAAGAATTTATTTATTTCCGAAATGGCCCTTTATTGACCTGCTATCATTAAAAATGGTTTATAGATTCCATATCTGATCTACAGCAGAGGTATATTTTCGTGATTGAACACTCATGATGAGGTAGACATTTGGGGAAAGGCCAAGATATTCCTGAAAATCCCCTATGAATGTTTCAAGTGGTGATCAGCTATGTCTCATTATTTTAGCTATTGAAACTAATTTGACTTTGTTAAAGAATTTTTTGCATTCTTATTTCCTTGGCTGGGTTATCTCCTTGACTCTTTGCCCAAGCATAAGTGTAAGGCAAAGAAAAGTTCATTCAGAAAATGAATGAGAGAGAAGTACACAAATAGTAATAAATACAGATTCAACCAGAAAAGATTTAATTAGAATTAATTAGAATTAATAATGAAGAATTCACTTTTAGTTTGATGCACCTATCAATTGGCCATTAATTATTCCATTTAATTGTCTCAGGCATGGAATATTTTGTGAGTCTCTAAGTATTACTTGCTGTTAATGAATTGACCATCTTGATTAGCACATGTTGCACCTGTGGTTTACCAGATATTGGTTCAGAAGACTGATATGTTTTGACATCTTGAATTCACAGCATTGCTGGTCAGTAATTACCGGTAGCTGTAATGGAGAAGGGTTTATAAAGCGTTGGTCAGGTAGCTTGATAAAATGTCCAGTTGTGTATCCCAATGGGGGGGTCAGGGACACATCTCATGTGAACATGAGATATTAACATTGCTCAGATTCATGTATCAATTAAGTAGAAGTAAATTGGTTTGAATATAATGTATTTCCTTCCGAAAATGAACAATGACCTTATTATATCTAAAGAGGGGACATCATTAAGACTATATATAAGTATATTTATTGAAAGAAGTGCATGAGTACAGGCCACTATGTGATCTTAACAGGCTCCTTTAAATAAAAGCAATACAAGGGAATAATATTAATCGGGAAATCAATTCTTAAGTTTATGATTTAACTTTTTTTTAATGTAATTTTTTTTATTTTTAAAAAGTTGAAATTTTAAAAGTGCATAAGCCAAAAAAGAAAAAAAAAATCACATTAGTTTTGTCAAATATATTTTATAACTTCCTTCTGTTTTTGCTAAATCGCTTCATTACCTGCATCCAAGCTTACTTCCAAGAGTACTTTTAAGCAAGATAAGGGACATTTTCTGCCAAAATGTTTAGGCATGATTTTTCCTGTAAATTTATCAGAGATATATAGTATATATATGCAATCTCAGATAAAATAGCATTTGCTAGGTAGAATATCTTAATTACCGTCTAAATTGGGACCCTCCAGAGCAATAACTTTTAAACTCATGATTACATGTGCCAACGAATTAAGATAATAAAATCAGTTACTTATTTTGACTTTAATTAAGTAAACAAGTGATGAAAGGGATTGTTATGATGGTGCTGAGGATATTTATGCAAATTAGCTTGATAAGTGCATTAAGTGTGTTTAAAGTCACATTTGATAATATACATGAGCAGGTTTTGAACTCTCTGATCCCCATCTATTTCCTCTTCACCCCAAAGAATAAGCCACCTCATTTCAATGGATAAATTTCTCTAAAACCTCATATTATATTACATCTTAAGGATCAGAGCTGATGTTAAAAATAAGTTTATACCAAAGGATGTGCTATAACTGTCAAGTTTCACAAATCTCCTAATCTTCAGGGAATTCTGATGTGTGGAAAAGCTTTGTTTTTAAAGATGTTTATGTTGAACAAATTTTCCTCATGTTGAGTCAAATTATCAGTGCACCTGTTTCCCTGCATGCTTTTTGCAGGTGAGGAGTCACATCGATGGGTAATATATAGTCTACTGACTCATTTTCTCCTGAAACATATCCTGCCGAATGCCTGATAACAAAGGGTGCTGTGTTCAATATAATTTCCAAAATCTGAAACATATGGACTAGCATTGTCTTGGGAGAACCTGATATAGTTGAGCAAGGTCTATCTTGTTTGTATATAAATACTCTTTCTGACCGCGTAGTGTATTCTTCATTGTCTTGTCTTATCGGAGGTGGTACAATTTGTGTATTATCATTTGGGCTTCATTTACAACCACTTTGGCCTGTGGGGTCTTTTTTTTGGAGGAGGGTCGTTATCTTTTGCTCAGGTGTTTGACTGATAGGAGAAAATCAGTGGTTTATGAAAGAAAGCACTTTGTTTTCTTATGTAGTCTGTTTATTACTTGTATTTTTAGTCCTAATATCAGACAGGTGTAATGTTTCCCAGTTGTGTTTGCTTTCCCTTCTCCATCTTGAAAAAATGCTTTTTTGCAACCTGATGTAATCCCATGCACTTTTAAATCATGATTTTATCATTAAAATATTGCTCCTTTCTTCTTCCTGGTTATGTAATCATTCTCTCCTTTGTTATCTTGTTGATAAAGACTTTTTCCTTCACATTATTTGCAAAGCTTGATTTGATTAACCCAAATGATGCCTTCACTGTCTATGTACAAAGAGC